TCTATCTTTATTGTTGTTTGTGCTTTTGGTGTCATTTAAGAAACTGTTGCATAATCCAAATCATGAACAGTTATGCCTCTGTTTTCTTTTAAGTGTTTTGTAGTTTTAGCTCTTATATTTAGATCTATGGTCATTTTCAGTTATTTTGTGTTTCTAGTGTGAGGTAGGGGTCCATATTTATTCTTTTGAGTGTGCGGATCCAAGTTTTCCTCACACTATTTTTTGAAAATATTATTCTTCATTTAATTGTCTTGGCACTTCTATGAAAAATCAGTTGAGCATATATGTAAGACTTTATTTCTGGACTCTTCAATTTTGTTCTCTTGATCTCTATGTGTAACCATATGCCTATAACACATTATCTTGATCACTGTATCTTTGTAGTAAATTTTGAAATTTGGAATTGTGAGTGCTCCAACTTTTTCTTTTTCAAGATTGTTTGGCTATTCTTTGCATTTCCGGAATTTTAAGGTCATCTTGTCAACTTCTGCAAAAAGCCAACCTGGATGTTAATAAGTATGGCATTGAATCTGTTAGTTTGTGGAGTATTGTCATTTCAAAAATGTTGAGTCTTCTGAACCATGAACATTGGATGTCTTTTCATTTATTTAATTCTTCTGTAATTTCTTTCAATAGTGTTTTATAATTTTTAGTTTTCAAGTCTTGTATTTTTTTAAATGTGCTTCTACGTGTTTTTTAAATACTATGCTAAATGGAATTTCTTCTTTATTTCATTTTTGTATTCATTTTTCGTGTTAGATTTTTGTATATTTATCCCTATCTTGCAAATTTTGCTGAACTCATTTATTAGTTCTAATAGTTATTTTGTAGGTACCTTAAGATTTTTCTCTCTATAACAGCACATTGTCTGCAGATAAAAATTGTTTTACTTTTTCCTTTCCAATCTCATGCCTTGTTTTTCTTGCCTAATTGCCCTAGCAAAATGAATGTCAGATAGACAAGGTGAGAGGTCTACATCTTTATCTTGTTCCTAATCTTGGGGGTATAGAAGTTTCACCATTAAACATGTTAGCTGTAGTATGTAGTTTTTAAAAAGGACTTTTAAAGCTCATGTATCCACCTTCTTTCTTTCAAGCTGTTTACCATACATTTTGGTATAACATACTGGTTAGTTAGACATAGGAGAAGGCAAATTCTCTGAAAGAGGAAGTATAGTATCTTGTGAAATACTAAGAGCTCCTATCCCAATTGGAGGAAGTCAGGAAATAATTTCTGGAGGAAGTAGCTGAAACCTTAAAGATAAATGGAATTGACTGTCAAACGGGAAGAGTATTCTGAGTGATAGAAATATCAAGGCAAGTGAAGGCATGGACTGCCTAAGAAATATAATTTTGTTTTCTAGAGGGTAGACTTTGAGTAGATGGTGCTATGATCATGGTGCCTAGATGAGCAGGGCTAGATTATGAAAAGTCCACATGGGGCTGGTTTACACGTTTAAACTTTTAAGAAGAAATTTTAAAAAGAGAAAATGAAATCATATTTTGCACTGTAGAAAAATTACAGTTGCAGTTTGGGCTAGAGACCAGAAAACCAGTTAGAGGACTATTAGAGTAACTCAGAGAAAAATGATGGTGCATTGGATGAGGTAGTGACAGTAGAAATGAAGGTAAGTAGAAGGGTTCTAAAGGGGTTTAGGAGGTAGAATTGAGTGTTAAGAGGATTGATAATTCTAGGATGATTCCTAGATTTTTGTTCAGAGCAAATGAGTGAATGATGTTCTTTACTGATTTGGGGAATACACGTTAAATAGTTTGAGAAAGGGTAATGAGTTTTGTTTTGGACATACTGACTATAAGAAAACTGAGTGGGTTTTTCCATAGGTAGTTGTATTTGAAGTTCACAGTATGCATTTAGAAATGGCACACAGAACTCACCTTACTCTACTCTCCAAGAATACCTCAGATCCTTCTCTGCCTTCCCTCTTCCCTCTCTCTTTCCTTTCAGTCCCTCACCCCAAAACAGTAAGTTCACAGATGTTACTGATGCAGTAGTAATGTGTGTTGTAAGAGTATTACCATTAGCTTCTCATCCTTCACTTACTTTTCACCTAGGTGCTGACTTTAAAGAGACTTCTTTTACAAAAATAACATCACATTACCACATTTGTTTACATTTTAGTGTCTTAAAAACTTTTCTACATGATCCTCTGGTGGAATGGAGTAAACCAGTGAAAGGGCATTCCAAAGCACCACTGAATGAAACCGGGGAAGTTGTCAATGAAAAGGTTAGTAGAAGGTGTAGCTTGATATGAGCTGACATTGTGTGTCTCTATAAATGAGAATTGATTCTAAATGCTATCAGTGACTGACCATTGAATACTCTGAGCGCTAGTTCTTGTTTAACTATAGATAGCTCACAATAATGAGATATAGTGGGAAAAAACTTGGAACACAGATTACCTGAACTTACAAAGCTTTAATGTGTAGTAATTCACTCTGTACTAATATTAGTTGAAGTCTCAGAGTTTGCAGATAATAATTTTTAATTAGTGAGAATAGATTAAGGATTATTATTGTAATAACGTCATTCTGACTTTTGCATTTTGATATTTTTTGTTATTGAGAGAAATGTGTACCATTCCAAGTAGCTTAGAAGTCCCATTTACTCATAGTAACGTAATCTAAATATTAGGCTTTTAGAGTATTGTTGCTATTATTATTCATTCACATATTTAAGTCCTAACATTTTCAGAGTCGATTTTAAATTATTATTTTTCTAGAACTGTAATGTAGAAGAAATTCCCTGGTATTTTACATAGTCCAGAAACATGTCCATATCAGTTGATGTTAGATTAATGTTGCAAGCCTTTATGGTACCTGGCTGGCTCAGCTGGTAGAGTATGCAACTCTTGATCTCAGGGTTGTGAATTCAAGGCCCACCTTGGGTGTAGAGATTACTTTAAAAAGAAATAAAATCATAACTAACATCGCAAGCTTCAAAATCAGTATCTCATGTAGTATTTGTTTCATTTCTTTTGTCTTTGGTTTTACAAAAAGGGTAATGATCCATAAAAGGATATAAACATTTGTTAAATAACAGAAAAGTAGTAATTTCAAGTGATCAACATCCACGTGTTATTGGGGTCTTAGCTCTTACGATTTTTAATTTCTTCTTATAGGCCAAGACCCATGTTCTTGACATCGAGCAGCGACTGCAAGGTGTAATCAAGACCCGAAATAGAGTGACAGGGCTGCCGTTATCTATTGAAGGACATGTGCATTACCTTATACAAGAAGCTACTGATGAAAACTTACTATGCCAGATGTACCTTGGTTGGACTCCATATATGTGAAATGAAATTACTTCAAAGAATATGTTAATTATCTAAAATTAATGCATTTGGTATTAATCTGTGATTATATCTATTCAGTTCTAAAGTACAACATAAATAAGTTTATGTTCTCAGAGCAACTGGTATTAACTCCCTTATTGTTAATAATATTTAAAATAATATATGTTGTTATTAAGAAATAAATTTTGTTTTAAAAAAAATTTTAATATTTCTGAAGGAGTGTGAGTGGGGTAGGAGCAGAGAGAGAGAAAACTGCTTTCTTAATATATGTTCATTATAACTGGAGAAATGTAACATCTTAGGCTTTTATGCTCTAAAAAGATGTATTTAAACAAGCCAGTCTCATTGCATTTTACAACTCTGATTTTAAGTACTAGCTAGCATAAGGATTCATTTGAGTGGTGCCTGACTGGCATGTGATCCTTGATCTCAGGGTTGTGAGTTGGAGCCCCATGTTAGGTGTGGAGATTACTTAAAAAAAATAAATAAAACTTTAAAAAATGTTTTTTAAAAAGCATTCATTTGAACAAAAAAAAAATTATTGAATAAATACTATGGACAAAGCACTATGCTAGATTTATGCACCAAGCTACCTCCCCTGCCTCTAGGAACTGACTGTCCAGTCTAGTGAAACATATAAACATAAAGCACACATCAAGTTCACTTAATAAGACTCTTTTTTTTGTATGGTTGAAAATGTAATAGGAAAAAAAGAGTATGACTATGAAAACTAATGTAATTTTAAAGATGCTGCCATACTGAGAGTTTACCAGAATACAGAATCTAGTGGTCTTAGAAGACAGTTAAAATTTCGTTAATATTTTAAAATTAAAGGTATTTTAATGTTAATTTTTTGTAAATTTTCAGGAGATTTAAAATAATTCACAATACTTAAAAGTAATGAGGTTATTACATTCAAATGGAAAATTCACCATAACAGAATTTTACTTAAGTTCGCTTGATAGAATTATGCTTCACTATACAGTTTAGAGTGTGATGGGGGAAAAACACGATAAACCAGGAGACATGAATGTGAAAATAAGTATATATAATTACCTTTGGGGGCCTAACGGTGAGTTGAGGAAGCTGGCTGGGGGTTACGAGAGGAGTTAGGAAATTTTTTCAAATAATTCGGAAAAAAAGCGTTTTTAAAAGAGACTTTGTTATAGAGTTATATTCCTCAAAGGAAAAAACCTCTCCCTCGCCAAACAAAACTAAACCAATTCCTCAGAGAAACGCTTCACCCGTCGCCAAACAACCAAATCACCAGATCTTCCCAAATCAGTGTTGAAAAATATGGAGTTTAGTAATCCCAGGACACAAGCAATCAGGACAAAAATCAGTGTTCCAAAAATCTTCCAGCAGGCTCGTGAGGTTTTTACAGCACTTCCACGTCCATTTATAAAGCACAGTTCCATCAACCGGCATTTCCAGAACAAAGTTTCACGCACCAAAACGCCGCCTTGCTCTTGAACGTAACCACCGCCGTTCGGCGGCTGCTAGGATTAGAGCCCCGCCCCGGGGATGCGGCCTCGAATCGGCCGCTCTAGGCCCGGCGAGCGCTCTCTATGGTCGGGCGAGCGGTGTGTTGTCATCGGCGGAGCGACGGCCAGAGGCTGCGGCGTAGGCCCCGGCGGGGCGTTTGGTTTCGGTTTGGCCCTGATTGGAATTAGTGTTGACGGTCGAGATGGGAGTCCCCAAGTTTTACCGATGGATCTCGGAGCGGTATCCCTGCCTCAGTGAAGTGGTGAAAGAGCATCAGGTGGGTGAGCGAGGGGGCAGCGGCTCAGAAGGCCCAGAACCCGGGGCCCCGCGGCCCTCTCCACCCTGGGACTGGGCTCCCCAGCCTCCTCTTTCTGCTCGTCGTCTGCTGGATGAGCGGCAAAGAGAGGGGAAGAGAAGGTTTGAGGATATCCTGATGCTCTGAATGGGGCGAAGACGCAGGTTTCGTTTCTCTGGGCAGAGTCACGGGGATCGCGGCAGTTGTGACACTGACAGCTTTGCTGCCGGGCAGGGCCTTCCGCGATTCCGAAATTAAATCCTGGGGAGGAACGCTGTAATGAATTCTTTCCTTTCCTGCTCAAGGAGCTGCGTCTTCCCTTATAGAGACAGCAGAGCCCGAGCGGGTGTCCTGAGTACCTCCCATTCCCCCACCCCAAAGCAACAGACCCACGTACCAACGATAATAACTTCCTCCGCAGTTGAGTCACCTTGTTTACTTTCCTTTATCAGGACCTGCATCCCACCCCACCCCCAACGCCTAGACGCTTTGACCTGGCTGATGGTTCATATTTATGATACCTTTTGTTACTCTTTTTCGATCACCCCAAAGGCCGTACGAATCCCGAGTTCCAAAAGAAACAAAATACACTTGGACCGGCAGCGGCAGTTAATTGGAGGCTTCACTGTGTGAGTGTGTGTGTGCGCGCGTGTGAGAGAGAGAGGAGAAAAAGAAATGGATTGCTAGAGCACTGATAGTAGTAATAGTAGTGTCTGGTTTATAATCCGGCATGTAATAATATCCCAGTGCGACGTTTTTTGTGTAGATTCCAGAAGTGTTTATATAGTGGAACTGTGAAAAGAAATAGCAAGCAGTTATCTATTAGGCTTTGGGTGATGTATTCGTGTTTATCACATTTAATGATTTGGATAGATTTCTTGTCCATTTTATATTTTACAGGAAAAAAGTTTTGATATTTGTATAGCTAATTGAATCAGTAATGATGGATAACATTGTGTTAATAGTGGGGGGAAATAATCCAGCCCAAACCATCATGCTGTTTATTAAATTATGGGTTAATCTTTTTACAAGTACTATAAGCATAAAGATAGGCTTAAACTTCCAGAAGGGATTCTTTGTTGTTGGATTCGAGTCAGTTTTGGTATATGAAGAAAAACTTAAAGAATCCCAAAACAATAGTTTATCTTTCATTTATTTGAAACATGGATTGAGTGAGATTTAGGGAGACATTTCTTTCCAGAGAAGAGGGTTAAAAAGGGTTACTAAGTACATTGCTGAAATGGAGACAACCAGTTTTGGCTTTTCCTGGGTCATTCATTCAACAAATAGCTGAGTGCCTGCCGTGCATCAGTCACTTTATCTCCGAAGTGAAGAAATGTGATTGTTACTCAGATTGGCTTAATAACATAATTTGTTCAATGGTATTTTTACTCTGTACTCTTTGGTACAGAATTTGGTTTGATGAAACTGTCTTTGATTCTTAACATCTTGAGGATTTTTTTTTTTTTTTACTGAAGAACAAAAAATAATCTCTTAAAGGCAATTTTATGATAGATTTAAAAAGGCTTAAAACTTGGCTTATCAAAGTACTGTCTTTCACAGATGTTTGATTTGTGTAGTTAACAACAACAACAAAAAGAGCAAATGTTCTAAAGAGTTACCAGCTACTCTCTTAAGCAGTATTTAAAAGATGGTAAGACTAAGTAAGTCACAGTGATTCAAAAGCTAGTCCTGGGAGGAAGGGGTTGGGAAGAGGAATAGGTTGTGGGAAGATGGTGATGGTGATGATAACAGCATAGTTTTTGGTCTCTCTGAATCCACACATAAAAACAAATGAAGTAGGTAGCAAAGTTTGAAATCTACGGAACATTTATGACAAAACCACATGACATCGTATCCCTATGAACCCAAATATAAGTAGGTGAGGACAAAATACCAATAGTTTCTAGCCCCAGTTGGTGTTGGCATCCCTGCAAGAGAAAAAAGGAAGTAATGAGGCAACAGCTGATGGACCTGAGAACAGGAGAACTGCAGAATATTCACTAAAAGACTGTGTAGGCCAATTACATAGGAGTATTTGTAACTAAGGGGTTTTAAAGGATAGGACTATTTGGCCTCCTGTGAATTCTCGTAACTGACTTGCCAAGGCATCATTCTGAGGCAAATACAGTAAAAGAGAAAACAGATATGCCCCCCTATACAAGAGCAGACACTTTAAAATGGAAATGTCAGCTTGTGTTTCCTTCTGTGCAATTTGTAGCAAATGCATAGAAGCTTGGCTTTAAAATTGCAGGCTCTAGCATAACAATGTGCATGCACTTAACACTACTGAACTGTGTGCTTAAAAATGGTTAAGATGGGAGCGCCTGGGTGGCTCAGTTGGTTAGGCATTTGACCCTTGATTTTGGCTCAGGTCATGATCTCATGGTTCCTGAGTTCAGGCCCCACTTTGGGCTCTGTACCGACAGTCCAGAGCCTGCTTGGGAGTGTCTCTCTCTCTCTCTCTCTCTCTCTCTCTCTCTGCCCTCCCCCACTTGCGCGCACTCTGTCTCTCTCAAAATAAGTAAACTTAAAAAAAATGGTTAAGATGGCAAATTTTATGTTACGTATATTTTACCACAGTTTTAAAAATTGAAGGCACTAGAGTATGCATTATGAACAGGAACAAGGGAACCAAAATTGTTGAGAGGGTGGAACTTTACATATTAAAGTGCCTTAGTATGTGAACAGATAATACAGTATGTCTGTGGTATTAAAATTCCACTGGAAGATATTAAGGAAAAACAAGTATTAAGAACTACCTGGAAGAAGAGCAGTAATGAAAGAAAGATTAAGAAACACTGCTCTCATGCAGTTCAGCTTGGTTTAAAATTTAGCTCCAACATTTCACTAGCTATGGGTGAGTGACTCAGTCTTCTTGTGACTCAGTTTTCTCAACTACAAAATGGAGATAATACTACTAGGATTGCTATGATTACATATGTGAATGCACATACAGTTGATTCTTGAAACTGGGATTGAGAGCACCGGCCCCCTCCAAGCCCCCACACAGTCGAAAATCCAAGTATAACTTTGACTCCCCCCAAAATTAACTACTAATAGCCTACTGTTCACTGGAAGCCTTACTAATAACATAAACAGTCAATTAACACATATTTTGTATGTTAAATGTATTATATACTGTATTCTTACAATAAAATAAGCTAGAGAAAAGAAAATGTTAAGAAAATCATAAGGAAAATACATTTACAGTACTGTACTGTATTTATTGAAAAAAGTCCACATATAAGTAGACCTGTTAAATTCAAACGCATGTTGTTCAAGGGTTAACTGTAAAGCATTTAAATCTGTCTAGTACATGGCAAGTGCTTAACAGATCTTAGCTATTATAATAGCACTGTACTAGATTGTAATCACAAAGAGAACTGCATATGTTCCAAGAGTTTATAATCTTGTTTGTATGACCTTTGTTTTGTAAGGGTTAAGTTTTCATTATATATATGTTCCTCATTACAACTTCATCTTTTGTGGTACATAATAGATCTTAAGTAAGTTTATTGAGTGAATGAACTTATTACCTCTAGCATATTATATAACCTATAAAGAATACATAGTATATAAAAACATTGCATATTAAAATATATGTTGTATATTTAGTACGTTTTAAAACATGCGTATTAAAAAATGAAGCAACAAAATCTTGGGATTGTTTAAGATAAATAGGATTAAAGAACTGAGAAAAAAGAATTGCTAACAGCTCTTTTGAAAAGTAAATTTTATATTGTCTTTATGAAAAAGGCATTTTGTAGCAGCGCTAAACAGGATACAAAGTTATACTAACAAAAAGAAACTACTGTTTTGAGAATAGTGGATACTAAAATGTGAATACTTAACCACAATTTAAAGCAGTGTGAATGAAGTGAGTGTTGGGGTGCCTGGGTGGCTCATTCAGTTCCACTCAGGTCATTGATGCCAGGGTCAATGCCACAATCAAGCCCTATGTTGGGCTCCGGGCTGAACATGGAGCCTGCTTACGATTCTCTCTCGCTCTCTCTCTCTCTCTCCCCCCTCTCTCTCCCTCTCTCTCCCTCTCTCTCCCTCCCTCTCCCTCCCCCTGCCCCTCTCTCCAGCTCACACTTTCCTTCTGTCTCTAAAATTAAAAAAAAAAAGTGAGTGTTACACATGTGCTGTCACATTCAATAAAGGCAGAGCTTCATTTTTTGATTATTAAATATTTTTTATTTGCTACTCTTTGTCAGGCAGTGTGCCAAGAGTTCTAAACATGACCAAATGCTTAAGTATAATGTCTGTCCTTTCCTGCTAGCAGGACATTACATTAAGCATTCAACAAGAATGTATAGTGCATGTAAATGTATGTGCCTGGCATTCTTGTATGCATTGGGAACACAAAAATAAGATATGACATAGAGAAAGAAGCATCGTTTCCCCTTAGGTAAGTAGGGGAAAGCTTTCAGACAAAGATATTTACTTATGCTGGATTGGAGCACCTGTGTGGCTTAGTTGGTTAAGCTTCCGACTTCAGCTCAGATCATGATCTCGCAGTTCGTGGGTTCGAGCCCCTTGTCAGGCTCTGTACTAATAGCTCAGAGCCTGGAGCCTGCTTCAGATTCCATGTCTCCCTCTCTCACTACCCCTTCCCCTGCTCATTTTCTGTCTCTGTCTCTCAAAAATAAATGTTAAAAAAAATTTTTTTTTAAGATGCCTGAGCTGGATCTTGAAAGTTGAGTCAAAATCTACAAGAGCAGCAGAAGAAAGAGCAAAAGGAAAGAAAAGTGTTTCAGGAAGTAGGAGCAGCATCTGTAACATCACAGGGGTTTTAAACAGCCCAGTACATTTAGGGCTTTCTAAGGAATGTACTGTGTGTAGTTAGCTTGTGGAATATATATGGAAACAGGAAAGAATATGGAATTGGTGGGAGAGAGAACAGCCAAATTATACAGAACCTTTTGTGGCATTAAAGGTTTAAGATATCATGTGGGTTTAAGTAAGGAAGCAACATGATCAAATTATGTTTTGGAAAAATGGCCACGCTGTGATGAGAGAAAAAACTAAGCAAGCAGTCCAGTTGGAAAACTGAGGGCTTGAACTAAGGCAGGCAATCTGGGAATGGAGAAAATGATGAGATTGCCCAAGACAACGGGAATGATTAGGAGGGCAAGATGATAGGAACATTTCGGAAGTTAAATTTAAAAAACAAAACCTCAGTGATTAATTAGATACAGGGGTGAGGAGAGGTGAAAGTAGAAGATAACCTCAGAACTGCTAATTTACAGATGTAACAACTCAGTATTATGTCTTTTTCCCCCAAGTTTTATTTAAATTCCTGTTAGTTAACATACTGTGCAGTTAGTTTCAGGTGTAAAAATTACTTCCATACAACACCTGGTGCTCATCACAAGTGCACTCCTTAATCCCCATCACCTGTTTCACATATTCCCCCCCCCCCCCCACCTACCTCCCCTCTGGTAACCCTTAGTTTGTTCTTAGCAGAGTCTTTTTCGGATTTCCTCTCTTGTCTCTCTCTGTCTCTGTCTCTCTCTCTCTCCCCCTCCCTCCATCCCTCCCTCTTCTAGTATTATGTATTTTTGAAGGAGCAAAATTCTATTGCATGTTCTCATTTTTCACTGTACTAGCTTATGATTACTCACTCTATTAAGCGTGTTTACTAATCTGAAACCTAAGAGAATTTTACCCTTTTTTAGATTTATTACAGGTTTTTTTTGCAGATTATGTGTTGCTGAACCATTATGTAAATATAATACAGAAAGATGCAAAAGCTGTTACATCGTCCAAAGGAAAATAAAAAACAACTGAAGTGTGGCACCTAGGTGGTTTCAGTCAGTTGAGCTGCCTCACTCTTGATTTTGTAGCTCGTTGGTCAAAGCCCTTGGGGTCGTGGATCGAAGCCATTGAGCTGCGCTGAGTGGAGCTTGTCTTAGATTCTTCTCTTCTTCTCTTCTCTTCCTCTCCTCCTCCTCCTCTCCTCTCCTCCTCCTCCTCCTCCTCCTCCTCTCCTCTCCCCACTCGCAGGTAATCCCATCATTCAAGCTTAACTATCTAGTAACATCTTGCTTTTACATACTTCCTCAATCCATATGCAGATACACATGTAGATAAATATTTGGCAATAGGATAATGCACTCATTTTATAGCCTACTTTAATACTTGACCATCTATTATAACTACTAATGTCAAATCACTATGAATTACATAATTTATAATTGTTGTGTCATATTCCATTGCAAGACGCATACTATCATCAATTTCCTGTTATTAGGAAAGCACTTTTTTTTTATCTTTTCCAAACGTAATTGTCATTAATATTTCTGTGTTTACATTTTTGTGCATATTTTTATTATTTCGTGAATAATTTCAGTAGTAGAACCGGTCGCAGATTTATATGTTTCAAATTTGATATATATATTTTTTTCAACGCTATTTATTTTTTGGGACAGATATATAATACATGAACGGGGGGAGGTCAGAGAGAAAGGGAGACACAGAATCGAATAGGCTCAGGCTCTGTTTCATCAGCCGCCTGGTATTCGGACGGGCTGGGAAACTCACTTTTAGACCACCTGCAGATCATGACCTGGTTGAAGTCGACGCGAACCCATCATGCCTACCAGGCTTGCTCTCTCGATATATATTTTGTATTGAGGTTAATTTATATTCTCATCTAGACACGGATGGGGACGCCATTTCTTTGGCCCTGATTTTTCTTCTTTCTGTAAAATGGGGAATTCAAATATTTCTTTTATTATATCATCATAATTTAAGGAAGATAATGAATGTAAAATATTTGGGCTCAACTTCCTTTTGGCACCTAATAATAAGTAAATAAATGCCAGGTATTGAACTTTTAATAACATGAAATATCCATTTCCCCACAACCTGCTAATAATTGGGTAACCATTCTTTTCTGGTATATAACATGATCAGAAAAATGACATATGTTTTTAATGTTTATTTTTTGAGAGACAAAAAAGACAGGAGCATGAGCAGGGGAGGGGCAGAGACAGAGAGGACAGACGAATACCTGAAGCTAAGCCAGTCTCTCATGCTGTCAGTATAGAGTCAATACCCAGGACCTTCAAACCTCCACAGACTATGAACATGACCTGAGCTGAAGTCCCACACTCAACTAACCCAGGCACCGGAAAAATGATGTACATTATTTTAATTTGAAATTTTGGGATGTTAAACAATTTTTCATGTGGGCACTGCTGTATTTTCCATGCTTTAAAATTTGCTCTTTTTTTTCTTATTTACATTTGAGAAATTTTGTAAGGTTGGGAATGTGACCTATCCATTGATAAGCATTCTGCATTTTGTCATTTTCAGTTGATTTGAGCAATTTTTTTTTTTTAACTTTATAGAGTGTAAAAAATACATTTTTAGATTGCCAACTTCACCATTTGGTTTATGATATCTGGCTTTTCCACCCTAAAATTGTCATAATTTTTTGTATATAGTTTTTTTTATATTTTCATTATTAAAATTTTTAATCCTTCTGGATTCTCTATAAGATGAAATACATCTTATATTTCCAACTGTTTCAAATTGTTAGTTAGGTGCCCCATCCTTTTCACTGGAGTTTAAGATGCCTTTATATACTACATTTTGCATAATACTTGACTGCTTCTAAACTATTTGGGTTCAATCAAACCTTCATAATTTTAATATATAAAGTTGGGAGATTTCTTTTCATTACTTTTTAATGTTTATTTTTGAGAGAGACAGAGCAAAGAAAGGGGGAAAAGGGAGGAGAGGGAGACACAGACCTGGCTCCAGGCCCTCCGAGCTGTCAGCATAGAGTCTGATGCTGGGCTCAAACCTCGAACCATGAGATCATGACTGGCCAAAGTCGACACTTAACTTTGACTGAGCCTTTTCACCCAGGCGGTTCTCCTTCATTACTTTTTAATATTCTCCTGCTTGTTTGTTCTCCTACAGTGGAATCACTTTGTGTAAAAATTCCCCACCTCTCAAAAAAAAATCACCTTGAATTTTGAATCCAGGCTTTATGATTTCTTGAAGCTTTGTGGTAAATCTTGAATGTACTTTTATTCTTATTTTTATTTTTATTTTACTTTATTTTATTTATTTCTTTCTATAATTTATTTATTTTTATAGTTTACACTAATCCTATCATGGAGCAGCAATGATTTGAGTATATAGACATTCCTTAAAGCTCCTTGCCCATTTAGCCCATACCCCCCTCCACAAATTCAGCAAGAATCATTTCTATTTACTTCCATATTGCAGCCTCTATGTTTTATCCCCTCCTCCTGCTTTTATAGGCTTTTTTGTTTCTTCCTTTTGTTCATCATTTATCTGTTTTGTCTCATAAAAGTCCTCATATGAGTGAAGTCATTTTTGTCTTCTTCAGACTGGAGAAATTTTGCTTAGCATAATACCTAGTTCCATCCATTTAGCTGCAAAATGGTCACAAGCATTTCTCTTTATTCTTTTAATTGCTGTGAGTAATACTACGTGTGTATAGAGGAGTGATATATATATATATATATATATATATATATATATATATATACACACACTTAGATATCCATAGTTGGTTATAGTAATGATTTCTGTCATTTTTCTGTTTTTTAGATTCCTGAATTTGACAACTTGTACCTGGACATGAATGGAATTATACATCAATGTTCCCATCCTAATGATGATGATGTTCACTTCAGAATTTCAGACGATAAAATCTTTACTGATATTTTTCACTACTTGGAGGTGTTGTTTCGCATCATTAAACCTAGGAAAGTGTTCTTTATGGCTGTTGATGGTGTGGCTCCTCGAGCAAAGATGAACCAGCAGCGTGGGAGGCGTTTTAGGTAAAGCATTTGTGGTTTATTTGAGAATACTCTTTAGATTAATAAAATGTATTATTTTAAAGATAATTGGCTTAATGCAGTGCATCTTCTTTTCATGTTTCTTTTCTGCCTAAATTCCCCCAGAAATGGAAATAACTGATTATGTCACATTATATCAGTCAAGTAAACAAATTAGTAACTGAAGTGAAGTGTCATTCTCAAAGCTGTGTTGGGCTGTGTAAAGTTACTATTGTTTTCATTCGTAAATTTTTAAACTTCTCCTTGATAATAGTGGTACAATTGACCCTTGAACAATGCAGTGGTCAGGGGCACCAATCCCCGCGCATATAAAATGTGCATATAACTTGATTCTCCCAGAACTTAACTACTAATAGTCTGTTATTAACTGGAAGCCTTAGCAATAACATAAGCAATAAACACATATTTTGTATGTTATATGTATTATATACTGTATTCTTACAATAAAGTAAGCTTAGAGAAAAGAAAATGTTATTAGAAAAATCATAAGGAAGAGAAAATAGATTTACAGTACTGAACCATATTTACTGAAAAAAAATCAGTGGGGGCACCTGGATGGCTCAGTTGGTTAAGCATCTGATTTCGGCTCAGGGCATGATATAACCATTTGTGAATTCAAGCCCTACGTTGGGCTCTCTGCTGTCAGCATGGAGCCTGCCTCAGATCCTCTGTCTCCCTCTTTCTTCCCCTCTCTACCTCACTCATGTGCACTTTCTCCCTCTCTCTCTCTCTCTCTCTCAAAAATAGACATTAAAAAAAAAATCTGTATACAAGTGGACCCACAGAGTTCAAACCTGTGTTGTTCAAGGCTCAACTGTAGTAGAGAAAACTCCACTAGTAGTCTGTCCTGAACCAGAGAACTACAAAGTGAAATGAGAGATTGTTCTAATGGAAACATCGTTGACAATTTAATTCAACAAACATTTGTTAAATGCCTAGACTGTGGGCTAGATGCTGACTCTGATTGAGCATTGGTCCAAATTGGTTAGAAAGGCAAGTGAGACTAGAAAATGATTGGTGGAGTATGAGAAGAGAGCTGAGTTAGGACATTTGAGGTACTATCCGCCCCAGTGTGTGAGGTGGACAGTAGGAAAAGTAAAAATGAGAAAAGGTACATAGAGTTTTAAAGTCAAAATCCTGGACATGTGAAATAGTTTTTAAAAACAATGAGATCATGTTGTGTCCTTATTTACGAGTAGGATAAGTAAAGTTAAGAGTGATGTTAGAATTGATGGAAAGAAACCCTGAGTTCTGTGTGTTTGATGGGTTGTTAGCATAATGAATCCTTTCATTACAACAGCAGGTAACGGAGTGGAAAGGGCACCTGTGAATAAAATATGGAAATGATCAAGGAAGGTGGGAGTGCACCTTGGAGAAGGCTAGCAGTGAGAATGGGAAAAGGATGGAAAAAAATACTGATTTAAATATCAAAAGAGGAAAGATCTTGAAGATACTGAAACACCTGTGAAATTTCTTTTTTTAATGTTTACTTATTTATTTTGAGAGAGAGAGAGAGAGAGAGACAGCATGGTGCATGTGGGATGGGGAGGGGCAGAGAGAAGGAAAGAGAATCCTGAGCAAGCTCAGTGCCAACAGCACAAACCGTGAGATCCTGACCCAAGCCAAAATCAAAAGTCTAGACGCTTAACTGAATGAGCCACCCAGGCACCCACTGTGAAATCTTTTTTTTTTTTTTTTAAGTTTATTTACTTATTTTCAGAGAGAGACAGAGAGAGAGAGAGAGAGAGAGAGAGGCAGAGAATCCCAAGCAGGCTCTGCTGTCAGTGCAGAGCCCGACACAGGGCTCGAACCCTTGAACCATGAGATCATGACCCAAGCCGAAACCAAGAGTCGGACACTCAACCAACTGAGCCACCCAGGCGCCCTATCTGTGAGATCTTTAAAGACAAGTACCATCTCTTGGTAAATTTAGAGTCTCAGGTACCAACCTAGACTTACTTAATTTGAATCTCTAAAAATTGGGCCCTGGAAACCATTTTTACCAGATTCCCCTGGTATTTGTTAAACTAATTTGGGGGAGCTATTGTACTAGAAAATCTAGTATTGAGAAAGGATTATATAAGCCCACTGTGTCAGTCATTGTTCAGTTGCAGAAATAGAAACCTGGCTATTTTAAGCAGAAGGGGATATAATGCAAAGAATTAGGTGCTTATAAAAATCATTTTAAGAGCCAAAAGGATGGGAATTTAGGTGAGCCTTCAAGAGTGACTTCAGAACAGCACTATAGAAGTGAACCCACAGTGGCACTATTACTACAGCATTCAGGAAGGTGAGGAGTTCACAGGCCCCCACCAGAAGCGGTGGTTCCAGGAATGTATTCCTTTATCTGTGATCCAGGGATTAAGAAGGTACTACCTGAACTATTGGCTCCAAAAATAAATCACTTTAGTTGTAATTCAGCAATCAGGAAGCCACCACTGTATCTGTTAGCTCCAGAGCCCCAGTGTATCTGGTAGATCTGCCCTGCCCCTTGCTTCTCAGTACCTATGAAACTACTGAATATTGGGAACTCTTCTATTATTGATAAAATACACATATCCTATAAACCCAGTGCCTCAACAATCATATACACATCAGCACACAACACTTCCACCTTCCAAATCTTTTATGGAGGTATCTGACTGACGGAATCTAAGTTATATCCTTTCACCTAGCTGCAAGGAAGCCTCAGAATTTAATTTTTTAGCTTTCTAACCTCTCCCCTATCAGAAGACAAACTAGGAGAATGAAATGGATGTTGAGGGTGAATCCACCATAGCCATCGAAAGCATTTACTAAATATTGTGCTGACACAATATTGAGTGACATTGAATCCTCCAGTCAGCTTTTTCTCATTTTCCACAGAGACTATATTCTCCATTCATAATCTTTTAATTACTTATAATCTTTCTGCATCTCTTACTCATTTTAAAATCTGCTGCTGTCTGGCTTTCATCCCTACCACTAAAACTCCCTTACAAGATTACAAATGGACTTTGTATGGCTAGAATTCTCTCTGTATATTACTTCATTTATTTATAGTTTTTAACAATGTTGACCATTCTTTCTTTCTTGAACTTCCTTTCCTTGACCTTTATGTAACCACACTCTCTCTGACTGCACCTTCTTGATCTCCCTGTTACCTTCTCTTCCTCTGCCTTTTTCTTAAATAGGTTTTTCTTAAGGTCCTGTCCTTGGTCCTGAGTGATCCTATCCAGTGGTTTTAATTACCGTGTCTATACTGATGACTCCCAGATTTATCTTCTTGGTGGATATCTCTCTCTACAACTCCTGTATATCCAAATGTCTCCTAACTATCTCCTTTTAGATACTGTAGATACGTTTCAGGCTTAACATGTTCAGAACTGAACTCCCATTTCAAAACTGCCTTCCTTCTGTTTTCTATTGCAGTGAATAATAACACCATGCAAATAGCTGCTCAACCAGAAAGTCTCAAGAGCAATTTGGACGACTTCTTCCTCATTCTCTATACCTACCTCCTGTTTATCCATTCTCTTAAATTTGTCATATATATTGCCTTCTTTTCATCTTTACTGCTACTGTCTCAGCCTAGGCTACCGTAATCTTCCACCTGGATTGCTTCAATAGTCTTTCCTTGTCCCTGTCCCATACATTCTCTATATTGCAGCCACATTAAACATTAGGGCTGTTAACTTTTCTGTCTCCCCACTAGAGTGTAAACTCTGTGAAAATAGGAATCCTTTCTGTTATATCTCCAAAACTTGTCACATAGTAACATTGAGTAATTGTCCAGTCAAAGGAAGGAAGGAGAGAAAAGAGCAAAGAATGGCTTCTATTGGAGAAATTACAAATAAGTTGATATCTTCAGAGTTTTTGCTATCTTGAGGGGGTTGGTAAGAGAGAGAAGTTACATATGAAGAAGAGTTATTTATCATAGAAATGCAGTTCTGCAGGCACAGTAGATAGAGCTAGTATCAAGTACATAAAGCAGAGCTTCCTAATGTAAATGCCACATGGTATACAGTGTGCCACAGACGGGTTACAGGAGAAGCAGAACATTGGGAATTGGGATGCCTATTTTCTTTTTTTTTTTTTTTTAATTTTTTTTTTTTCCAACGTTTATTTGTTTTTGGGACAGAGAGAGACAGAGCATGAACGGGGGAGGGGCAGAGAGAGAGGGAGACACAGAATCTGAAACAGGCTCCAGGCTCTGAGCCATCAGCCCAGAGCCTGACGCGGGGCTCGAACACCCGGACCGCGAGATCGTGACCTGGCTGAAGTCGGACGCTTAACCGACTGCGCCACCCAGGCGCCCCGGGATGCCTATTTTCAAACCTAGGTCCATCTGACTCTAAAACTCACGTTTCTTTCTAGTAAATCCTGTTCCTTCAATAGTGACACAATTTTGGCAAATCATGATGGCATTAATGTTACTAGGCTTTGATTTTAAATGTTTTTTATGTACCTTCTTAGTGCAGCGGGCAGCGCTTCAGTCTCATGAATGTTTTTTATGAGGAAACGCAAATTGTGCTCAATTGCAATTACAATTTTACAATTATTTTTATGTAATATTCTTAGAGATCATTTTAATAATGTGCTTCCTGTTTGATATTATTAGTCAGTGTAGAATGTATATATAATGAATGCTTAATGCTCTACTTTTGAACTTATTTGTAGAATCGATTTGCTATATAGTTAAGAAGAGAATTATAAGTATTTGTATTGTTCTGGGTCAGTTTTAAATTTTTTTTTTTTTCAACGTTTATTTATTTTTGGGACAGAGAGAGACAGAGCATGAACGGGGGAGGAGCAGAGAGAGAGGGAGACACAGAATCGGAAACAGGCTCCAGGCTCTGAGCCATCAGCCCAGAGCCTGATGCGGGGCTCGAACTCACGGACCGCGAGATCGTGACCTGGCTGAAGTCGGACGCTTAACCGACTGCGCCACCCAGGCGCCCCCTGGGTCAGTTTTAAAAGATTACTTTGGGGCACCAGGGTGGCTCAGTCGGTTAAGTGTCCAGCTTCGACTCATGATCTCATGGCTCAGGAGTTTGAGCCCCGAATAGGGCTCTGTGCTATTCAGCTCAGAGCCTGATGCCTGCTTCAGATTCTATGTACCTCTGTCATTCTGCCCCTCCCCCACTCATGCTCATGCACTCGCTCTCTCTCAAGAATAAATAAGCATTAAAAAAAATTTTTTAAAAGAATTACTTTATAAGTATTTGTAATTTTCTGTATCAATTTTATACTGTTGTAAGGTTCTCCTTCTATAGTTATCTGAAAAACTCAATTCTTTAAATAAATAAAAACAAACAATTCTGAGGCTCATCTTTATCAATTATAATAATTTCAAAACTTGTGTTATGTTTTGAACCTCATATTGGTTAATTAATATTTTAGTTACAAAAGCATCTAAATAACAGTTTACTTTATGTAAAGATCTGTACTTTTCCCCAAAAACCTTAAGATATTTTTTCCCTTAACATTTAAGGTCAGCAAAGGAGGCAGAAGACAAAATAAAGAAGGCATTAGAAAAAGGAGAAACTCTTCCTACAGAGGCCAGATTTGATTCCAACTGTATTACACCAGGTAAATTCACTGAAAGAAAAATTTTGAGAGATTTAATTGTAAATGTAAATTTTTTTTCAGATGTATTTTTTTTTCTGGTCTCTATTTTGTCCTTAAGATTCCATTTGCGGTTTTCTCAGTTGTGTCTTCTCATGAGATATCTTGATCACCTTGATTATAAGTGCTCCTATGAAGACCCACTATACGGATTTACAGATGTTGATAAGAGCAGCTGTGGATAGGACTCTCCCAGATGCAGACTTCTAAACCTAGAAGGATCTTACAAGATCCGTCCTACTCCCACCATTTGTTTGTATGAAAACTGACTCAGTGAGGTTGAGTCACATCCATGGAACTAGCCTGTTATGTAGGATAAGAAACCCATTCTCCTAGTCCGGAGCACTTACTATCATATTTCTTAAAGGCAGTTAAAATTCTGTGACTTTAAGAGTAAATTAATTTATTAGTATTATAACTTTAAATTAGTTTTATATGCAACAACATACTCTGTACTTACTAGAGCTTTGTCTAACATCATTATAATCTTCTACTTTGAAAAAAACTTAAAATCTTATTTTTTTTCATGACTTCTTTACTAACTATGGTAATTTTGTCTTTCGCTTAAGTGTTCTTATCATACATTGGTTGATTTAATGACCAGTTTTATCCTGATGTGGTTTAAGACCGTGTTGCCTTTGACTATTGACCCTCTGGACTTTTCCTGAAACATAATCACTGTAAATTCAGTTTCCAGAATAATAATTTTCCAGGTAAACAGTAATAATAATAATAGTTGTGGTTGTTGGTATTGTTAGTAATCTGATTATAGCTACAGGCCTTAAAAAACATTCAGAAGCCAGCAGAGGAAATAGAAGATTGAAATTCATTAGAGTTGAAACTCTGCCCTTGTGTGAAGATACTCAGGCAGTAGTAATATTTCTTGATTTAGCTACATGAAATTAACTTCATTTTAGGGTGAGCAGTGAAATGAGAAACATTGTAATATTTGCTAGGGAAAGGCATGAGGGCTTTTCCTCTGGAGGATTACCTAGCTATTCCTACCCGGCTGGATACTCAGATCCAATTTCATGTTGTTTCTGGGAACTCATTCTTTTTTATGTCTCTCTCAGATTAAATTTTTTATTTTTATTTTTTTCAGATTAAATTTGTTAAAACTTTTTATTTATAGGGACTGAATTCATGGCCAGGTTACATGAACATCTGAAGTATTTTGTAAATATGAAAATTTCTACAGATAAATCGTGGCAAGGAGTTACCATCTACTTCTCAGGCCATGAGGTTATTATCTTTTTTTATTTAAAGATATTTTTAAATTTAATATTCTAACGCACAGCATATTACCACATTTTTTTTTAACACGTATTTAGACTCCCGGAGAAGGAGAACATAAAATCATGGAATTTATCAGATCTGAGAAAGCAAAGCCAGATCATGATCCAAACACCAGACATTGTCTTTATGGTTTAGATGCTGACTTGGTAGGTATAACATTTATTTTTATTACAACCTTATGCCATTTTAGTTAAATATCTGAGAGACTTTTATAAGAAGCTTTCTGGCTGTAGAAACAAATATTGGAAACATAATAATGGTTGCTACTTCTGCCATCAGCACAGTTCAAAACAATTAGAAAATGAACTCTTTTGGGGCATCTGGGTGGCTCAGTCAGTTAAGCGTCCAACTCTTGGTTTTGGCTTAGTCATGATCCCACAGTTCAAGAGTTCAAGTCCGCATCAGGCCCTGTGCTGATAGTGCAGACCTGCTTAGGATTCTCTCTCTCTCTCCCCCTCTTTCTGTCTCCCCCCAGCTCATGCACACGGTCTCTCTCAAAATACATAAATAAAATTTTTTAAAAAAAGAAAACTCTTGCCATAATTTATGATTAGCAGGTCTCTGTAGTTAGTGTTCACACTTGACTGATCCTTGTGCTATGAATACTCTGCCGTGGTCAGGGTAGAGGGGGCTTTTTAATCTCATGCTTGATACATAAATTTTAATAATACCTGATCTGATAACTCCATGACCCAAATAACTTTACTATACTTTTTTCATTTAAACTTTTTATTACAGAAATTTTCAAACATAAAGTAGAGAAGTTATAAAATAATGAAACTTCCTATAGGCTTTATCCACCTTAAATAATTTTCAACCTAAAATAAATACTCTAAATATTAAATTACTTTCCTTTTCTTATCCCTAACCATCTGTCTCCTTTCTCCTACTTCCCTTGACTCTTGAAGTGTATCCCAGACATTATATCATTTAATCTTTCTCTAAAGAAGGGTTGTTTGAAATAAATAACCATAATGCCATTATCATACATAAAACAAAAATTAATAATCACTGTTTAATATACAAATAACCATTTAGTATTCACATTTTCCTGATTGCTTCAGAAATGTTTCATCTTGTTTTGTATGAATTAGGTTGAAATAAACAATATATGTTGCAGTTGGTTGATATGTCTCACTAGACTATTTGAATGACTTACTTTGGACATTAGAATACTATGTGAGAAGGGCTCCTGGGTGACTCATTTGATTCAGCGTTCCATTCTTGATTTCAACTCCAGTCGTGATCTTAGGGTTGTGAGATTGAGCCCGTATTGGGCTCAGTGCTTGCACAGAGTCTGTCTTAAGATTCTCTCTCTCCCTGTCTGTCCCTACCTTGCTTGTGCACGCACTCTCTTTCTCTAAAATAGAAAAGGAAAGGAAAGAATACTATATGAGAAAATTAAATGAAGATGACCTTTTCTAGTTTTTTGTTTGTTTGTTTAATTTTCACATAGTAGAGGTATTCTGGCCTCCAGAAGAGTGTTAACATTCCTCTATCATGGAAAAGCTGCAACCTCCAATTTTTTACCCATTTCCGCCATAGCGGATGGAAAGGTGTGAAAACCTAGAGAAGGTTTTGGGGATTTTTGTGGAGGGTGGGCAGGGTGGCAGTTACAACGGTGATGTGAGTCTAAGATAAACATTTTTTCTTAGAAAAGTGCATTCATTTTACACCATTCATAACTTATGAGTGGATCAGATTTTGATATTTATATAATGTGCTGATGTTTTTATTAAATAAGCCTCTTTTTTTCACATAGAAATGTTTTTAATTTAATTGCTTTTATGAACCTGATACTATAAAAAATGAGAGAATAGAAACATTTTTTAATCATTTTTCAACAGATTATGCTTGGATTAACAAGTCATGAGGCACATTTCTCTCTTTTAAGAGAAGAGGTTCGGTTTGGTGGCAAAAAGACACAAAGGTAAATCATACTGCATATATGTTAGAAGAAAGAAGAGCAATTAAATTAAGAATAGTGACCATTTAACAGATACATGATCTGTAAAGATTTTCTCCCATTCGTTTTTATTCTGCTGATAGTGTCATTTGATGCACAAAATTTTTAATTGTGACGATGTCCATTCTTTTGTTGCTTGTTACTTTTAGTGTTATATCCAAGAAATTGCCAAATCTAATGTTGTAAAATGTTTTCCCATTTTAAGAGTTTTGCAGTTTTAACCCTTACATTTAGGGTTTTGATCCATGTTGTTAATTATTATATTTGGTATGAGGTAAGGGTCGACTTCATGCTTTTGCATGTGGATATCCAGTTTTCCCAAAATCATTTGTTGAAAAGACTGTCTTTTTCCCCTTGGGTGGTCTTGGCACTGTGGTTGAAAATCATTTGACCATATATGCAAGGGTTTTTCCTGGGCTCTGTATTCTATTCAGTTGATCTCTGTGTTTTTCTTTATGCCATTACCACGGTATTTTGATTACTGAAACTTTGTAGTAAGTTTTGAAATCAGAAAGGATGAGACCTCCAACTTTGTTCTCCTTTGTGAGGATTATTTTGGCTGTTTGGAGTCTCATAAGATTAATCATTTTTAGGATGGATTTTTTTGTTTGTGTAAAAAATGTCACTGGGATTTTTTGTTTATGTGAAAAACCTGATTGGGATGGCATTGAATCTGTACATCCATTTGGGTACTATTTACTGTTTCATAGTAAGTCTTCCAGTTCATCAATACAGAATGTTTTACAATCATTGTGTCTTCTTTCATTTCTTTTGACAGTGTTTTGTAGTTTTAGTGTGTAAGTCTTTTACTGTTTTTTTTTTCTTATTTGTTTTCCCTTTTATTAAAACAAATTTTTTTAATGTAGTCACCATGCTGTACATTGTATCTCCAGGACATATTTATCATATAACTGGAAGTTTTCACCTTTTGCCACCTTCACCCATTTTGCCCAGCCCTCACTCCTCTACCTTTGGGAACCGTCTGTCATTCTCTGTGTCTATGATTTCAGTTTTTTTGCCTTTGATTTTTTTCTTTTTCCTCTTTGGTCAAGTTTGTTCCTAAGTTTTTTACTCTTTTGGGTGGTATTCTAAATAGAATTGTTTCTTAATTTCTTTTTTGGATTGTTTGTTGCTGGTATGTAGACACAGCTGATTTTTATGTGTTGATCTTGTATCCTACAATTTTGGGGGATTCTATGGGATTTTCTGTATATGGAATCATGACATCTGTAAATAGAGATAGTTTTACTTCTTATTTTTCAGTTTGTATGCCTCTTATTTCTTTGCTTGCCTAATTGCCCTGGCTAGGACTTCCAGTATAATGTTGAATAGCTATAGTGAAAACGGGCATCCTTGATCTTAGGAGGAAAGCTTTCAGTCTTCTAACATGGAATATGATATGAGATGTTTGTTTTTCATAAATTCATTTTTTCATGTTTAGGAAGTTTCCTTCTATTCTTACTTGGCTAAGTACTTTTATCTTGGAAGGTATTGACTTTGACAAATGTTTTCTTTGCTAGTTAATTGTATGGTGATTTTCCTTTGTTTATTAATGTAATTTATTACATAGATTTATTTTTTTACATTGAGGCATCCTTGCATTCCTGGGATAGATCCACTTGCTCATGATACATAATCCTTTTAAAATGCTGTTGTCAGTTTAGGGACAACTGGCTGGCTCAGTCAATTAAGCGTCACACTTCAGCTTAGGTCCTGATCGCCCAGTTTGTGGGTTCAAGCCCCACATCAGTCTCTGTGCTGACAGCTCAGAGCCTGGAGCCTGCTTCAGATTCTGTGTCTCCCTGTCTCTCTGCCCCTCCCCTGCTCATACTCTGTCTCTGTCCCTCTCTCTCTCTCAAAAATAAATAAACATTAAAAAAAATTTTAAATGCGATTGTCAGTTTATATTCTTACTTCTGGTTAAGCTTGAAGTATTGACCAATAGCTAGGAATATAGTCCCCTATACCAAGCCAGGGAAAGATAAGAAGAAATAAATGATGGAGCCTCATCATTGAAGCTTTTGTCTGTACTGCAGTAGGCAGAAAAGTGTATATACTCACTTATATGTATGCTTTCTGCTCGTGGCCAGCCTTAAATGGGCAGAAACCACTGGTTTCTTAAATCTGTTATCTATTATTTAGACTTTCTTAATTCTGAGAATCTTTACAAAAAAAGCATAAGGCAGACCAATTATTTGAACTTTATTATAATTATACTTTTATCTTTTATCTTTATCTTTAGCAACCCTACAGCTTTCATATAAATTACATGCCTGGATTATAAGAATTAATTGTCTTCTAATGATAAGTTTTATTTTAAGCTTCGCTGCATTTTTAAAATTTTATTTTTAATCTTTATTTTTGAGAGAGAGAGAGAGAGAGAGAGAGCAAGTGGGGGAGGAACAGAGAGATAGGGAGACACAGAATCGGAGCTCCAGGCTCCGAGTTGTCAGCACAAAGCCCGACGGGGCTCACAGTCACAAACCACAAGTTCATGATCTGAGCTGAAGTCTGACATCTAACCAACTGAGCCACCCAGGCTCCCCATCCTCGCTGCATTTTTAAAGTTGAACCTTAAAGACACAACTAACTCTGTATTGATCATCTCATTAATTACAGGGTATGCGCACCAGAAGAAACCACATTTCACCTCCTACACTTATCTTTAATGAGAGAGTATATTGACTATGAGTTTTCAGTACTGAAAGTAAGTATTAATATAGCTGTGGTACAAAGAAAATGTGTAAGTAGAATTTCCGTACAAGTTGACTTTATCTCCATTTTGCTATAGGACAAGATCACATTTAAATATGATATTGAAAGGATAATAGATGATTGGATTTTGATGGGATTTCTTGTTGGCAATGATTTTATCCCCCATCTACCTCATTTACATATTAATCATGATGCACTGCCTCTTCTTTATGGAACATATATTACCATCCTGCCAGAACTTGGTGGTAAGAAAAGTTTAATATTTTTTTTGAGGCTACTTTAATTTAGCACTCACTCAGCTAACTGTAAAAATGTGACTCAGTTTATTAGATTATTGCATGCACAGCTAAAGTAGGAAAAAAATTGGGGGTTTCTTTTGGTCTAAGACAGTAAGCTCTGAGGTTATAATGTTCAGTGGTTCACAAGCAAAGAAAATGACAAGAGTTAAGCAGCCTCATTTACTGATACCTAACTAATCTCTGCCTTTGATTATTTAAGAAAGCCAGTAGAAGATATAAAATGAGGGAAAGAGGGATGCCTGGGTGGCTCAGTCGGTTAAGCGTCCAACTTCATGAGTTGAACTTAGTATCTATTATAATTATACTTTTCTTTTATCTTTATCTTTAGCTACCCTACAGCTTTCATATAAATTACATGCCTAGATTATAAGAATTAATTATCTTCTAATGATAAGTTTTATTTTAAGCTTCACTGCATTTTTAAAATTTTATTTTTAATCTTTATTTATTTTTGAGAGAGAGAGCAAGTGGGGGAAGAACAGAGAGACAAGGAGACACAGAATCTGAAGCAGCCTTCAGTCTCCGAACTGTCAGCACAGATCCCGACGGGGCTTAAACTAAAGAACCACAAGTTCATGACCCTGAGCTGAAGTCTGACACCTAACCAACTGAGCCACCCAGGCGCCCCATCCTCGCTGCATTTTTAAACTTGAACCTTAAAGACATAACTAACTCTGCGTTGATAATCTGATTAATTACAGGGTATGCTCACCAGAAGAAACCACATTTCACCTCCTACACTTGTTGGAAATGTAGGAGGATTATTATGTGGACCTGGAATTTATTTTGCTTGAGTTCTTACATATTTTATATTACTGTCACATGAGTGTCATAGAAACTAGCACCAGTTATATTGCCCAACACTTGAGTGTTTTTCTTGATTAGTAGAATGTCAACATTCAACATTTTGTAAAAAGAATTTTGTGGAATTGTTTTGAAAAAATAATGTTAACTTTTAGTACAAATTTAGTTTTTGTTCCTTTTAGGTTATATTAATGAAAATGGCCATCTCAACTTACCTCGATTTGAGAAATACCTTGTGAAACTATCAGATGTAAGTAACTAGGTATTATTTTCCTGTCCCAGGGTAGCTATAAATGGTCACAAACCAATTACATAATACTTAAAGAAAAAGTTTTGGTACTTCTACTCCAATTGATCATTCTGTATAATTTCACCTATTATTTTTATTTTTAATGCTTTTTGATTTTAGCTTTCATAATAGTAGATGAGGTTCCCATGTGCATAAAAAAGTAACATTCTTTGATATCCTATGCCCCATAAGTAGCAACTATTAAAAGTTTCATTTGTATTCTTTCAGACATACTTCAGTTATTTTTAAACGAATTTAAATATTTTTGTATAGTTTGATCGGGAACACTTCAGTGAAGTTTTTGTGGACCTAAAGTGGTTTGAAAGCAAAGTTGGTAACAAGTACCTCAATGAAGCAGCGGGTGTCGCAGCAGAAGAAGCCAAGAACTACAAGGAAAAGAAAAAATCAAAGGTGTCTGTTTTTTTAGGTGTCCTTTCATTTTTTTAGCTGTTAAGGTAAAACTGATATTCCATGCTTCTCACTTTTCTTCTTATGATTTTTGTAGTTGCCTCATTTCATTTTCATTTTTTATTTTCTTCCATGGAACATTTAAAAAAAACTGGTTTCTTCTCTATTAGATCCTATCATTTAAATCTGATCTTTAAAAATCAACTTCTTTTTTTTTAATGTTTATTTTATTTTTGAGAGAGAGAGAGAAAGAGACAGAGCTGAGCAGGGGCAGGGCAGAGAGAGAGGGAGACACAGAATCTGAAGCAGGCTCCAGGCTCTGAGCTGTCAGCACAGAGCCCGACGTGGGGCTCAAACTCACAAGCCGTGAGATCATGACCAGAGCCAAAGTTGGACTCTTAACCGACTAAGTCACTCAGGTACCCCTAAAAATCAACTTCTTTTTAACCCTTGAAGAATATTCTGTTCTCTTTGCTCATCCATTCTACTAATAAGTGTAGCAAAACTTCTAAATATAAGTGCCCAGAAAATCAGTTATCTTTTGTAAAATGTGGGTATTTATATAACATTTAATATTGGTATGTTAACTAGATCAGTGATTTTTCTATAGAAATAATTTATATATAAAATATACCAATAGGCTAGGTTAAGAGTAATATAGCACAATATCTAATAAATGTTAGGTGCTCAGTAAATGAATAATAGAATCATTCACAATATGCTAATACTGTACAAAGCATTAATAATAAACTCTAAAGAATGTCTTATATGTATTAGCTTGGAAAATAAACTTCTTCTGGAGTTTTCCGTACTTCTGAAGGTTTGGGGTTCTGATAAAATTGAGGAGTTTGCTGTACTCTCCTTGCTATACTGGTTCTATTTAGGCTTAAGCCTAGTAACTCTTGCTCCAGGAAGAGCAGTTACCCTGATTTTCTCTAGTGTAGTCCTAATTGGTTAGCTTTCCTTATTGGAACTTAGGAGCGGTCAGTTTGCATTCTACTGTGTTATTTCTCTTAAGAAAACAGGCTCAGCAACTTCTTGGGAACGTGTACTCAAAAAATTATACATCAGTAATCCCTGTCTGTACCCATCTCAGCTCCTTCCTTAAGCTTCCCAAGTCTTCAGGCATATGTAGTTAATGTTAGAGACACTGGCAAAATGAGAAGAACTAGAAGAAGAGCCCAAGCACTAGCAGAGGCCCTAGTTTGGATGAACAAAAGGAAATGGAGATAAGGGAATAAGAAGAACTAATGAGAGTCACTGGCAGTAGATAGGCAATCAGAAAATAAAAGTTAAGATCACTGGGAGGAAAAAAAGATGGGCAGGATGTGAAGAATGTGATGAGATGAGAGAAGTATAGAAAAGCAAATGAGTCACATGAGAGGAAAATTTGGAAGTGGAGAATATAACAGAGATAAAAATGACAGAATCCAGGGGCGTCTGGGTGGCTCAGTTGGTTAAGCCTCAGACTTCGGCTCAGGTCATGATCTCACGGTTTGTGAGTTCCAGCCCCACATCAGGCTCTGTGCTGACAGCTCGGAGCCTGGAGCCTGCTTTGGATTCTGTGTCTCCCTCTCTGCTCCACCCCTGCTTGTGTTCTGTCTCTCAAAAAAAAATAATAAACATTAAAAAAATTAAAACAAAGAAAAAGAATGACGGAATCCAGAGATATGGAAAATATGTACTATCTATAATTGTGGGAATCAATTATAAATGAATAGATTATGTTAACACAATAGATGAGAATTACCCATTACATATTTTTGAGAAATTCAACATAATAAAGACTTAGTGAAAAAGTGATACAAAACCAAAAACATCTACACAGTATTTGAGGATTATTTTTATTTATTTACTTTTTATTTTGAGAGAGATCACATGCAGATATGCACTGGCAGGGGAGGGGCAGAGGGAGAGGGAAAATCTTAAGCAGGCTTCACACCCAGCCCAGAGCCCAAAGCAGGGCTCGATCTCAAAATAGTGAGATCATGACCTGCGCCAAAAACTGAAGTTGAATACTTAGCCAACTGAGCCACCCAGGCACCCTGAGGATTATTTTTTAAATGAACTTTTACAGTGTATCACTAAAGGGTCCTTCAGTTCTTTTAAATATTTTTTAAATCTTCCTGTTAAATGTCTTACTTTGAAATATATCTTGATATATTGATTTATATGTATAATTAATTATAAGTATGATATATTATTATAATTAATTATTATATATGTTTATTATTATAATTATGTTAATAATAATTATATTGATTTATAATTTTTTTAGGGCCAGGAAAGCTCCTCCATATGTTGGGCTGCTTTATTTTTTATTTTTTTCGCTTAACAGGTTTTTATTTAATTATTTTTTTAATATGAAATTTATTGTCAGTTTGTTTCCAAACAACACCCAGTGCTCATCCCAACAGGTGCCCTCCT